TTTTAGGTGTAGTCACAAACAGATCGAGGATTGTTAGAGATATACAGGAATTCTGCTTCTGAATGTGCTTCTAAACCCTCAAAATATTTGCATTGGCAGATCACGTGTTCAAAGACAGTGATCTTGCACAGAGACCCTTGAATAAAAGGCTACTTTTAATCATTCTGAAAACTCTCTGAAGTCACCATTTCACTTACATTCACTGGGTTCAATCAATTATTGAATAAAAGGCATGCCCAGTTTGACCATTGACTATTACGATGTGACACTTTGTAGTTAATCACAATAAAGCTATTTGTATCTCCCATTAAAATAGTAGATGGAAGTGGAAGAAACAGCTTTTTAAATTATAAAAAAAACAAACTCAAAGTAGTTGCATAATGGGGAAAATGTTGTGTTTCACTGCCTGTTAAGCAGACGAGAGATGAAGATTTCCCTCCTGGTTTCACAAACAAGTAGGCAGAACCAGTGACTCCACTTCCAAACAGGATTCAGAGGGTTCAGACAAAGTCTGATCCTTTCTTGATTCTGAGGCACCAGATGGTCATGTGAAAGGGAGGAGGAAACCCCAGTCTGTAACCCTGTTATCTAATTCACATTGTTACTGTAAGGCATCTCAGGGAAATCCATGTATCATCTTTCTATACGAGCTAGAGAAACCACATCAGAAAACATAGGTGCTGAAGGTGTAAAAGGATGAGACGAAGAACTGGGGAGGAGCAAGCTCACAGAGGCCTGAAGCTATCTTCCAACAAAGCAAAACAAAATCAACCTGCAAGTGACTGGCCAGAGGCACGTGAAACAAGTTCACAGACAGTGCCTCTCAGGGAGATGCAGTTTAATCCTTCAGAAGGGCCGTTGCATTGCGCTCTAGAAGTATGCTGGACTGTACAGACTCGCAATCCCCAACAAAAAGAGAGTTAATGGCCTCCAACGGCTTCATGCCAGGAGTTGTGTTTGACAGCACTCAGCTTTTAAAAGGCAGAACATGCAGTCGTTAGGATCGTAAAAGAATACACACATGTGGCATTAAAAGGATGGCATGAATATTTTGATACAGCTTCTGGCTTCTGGACAGAGAAAACCATAGAATCATCTCTGAATCTTTACAGCAAAATCTACGCTCATTTAAAAATTGCTGGGTTGGAAAGAAGTGATTTCCTTGCAGCACTAGAGCCCCAAAGCCTTGGCAGCAATTTTTCATCGTTTTGTTAATTTTCACTAATATGACACGTTTGCTGCTAATATGATTGTTCTGTTTAAGAACTAATACCAGTATTAATGTGTTACAATGATGAATTACTAACAATAATCTATCACGAATGAAAAATAGTGACATAATTATTGCAGTATTGCAGTTGTGCAACGGCAATTTGTTAACGTGGGGCAAAACACCCAAAGAAAACTTTATTTTTTCATACTTTCTTCATAATTCCCTTAGCCATCTTTACAGGGAGAAAACCAGCTTGCACGTATGCTCCCGGACAAACAGATTTAATCTTAACCTTGTTTTAGGATCTGGATGTTATCTTTTTCACACAGCAGATTTTTATTGCTGTTTTTAAGGTCTTTTATTTTTACTCTCTTGCACAGCAGTGCAGCTTATTACTTAGGTATCACATTGCAACTATTTTATGGCTAGGGGATACATTGTCGTATTGCACTGATTAAAATGCTCCCTGTCTACCCATCACTGTGCTTTTTTACACACACATTTCAAATGGAATCTCAGAGAAAGTAAGCTAGTAGAGAAAACAGCCTTGCAAAGGAGCCAGTTACCTCAGCATAAACAGATTCTCAGTTCTCCAATGAGAAGAAGTGAGGAAAATGTGGATATTTCCTTTATTTGTGCATCTTTCTGTAGTTTTAAAAAATGGCAATACTCTTTCAAACCTTGGCTGCCAAACAGCACATGCTTCCACAGTGCCTTAGTGGATGCACGAGGTGACACAGATACTCAAATACAACCCCACCACTACAGGTCTTTGCACATCTTCCCCTAGGAACCTTTCATCACAGCCGACCTGTCTTAAATCACCCAAGCCAACAAGTAGCACCCTATTTAAGATCCTCTAAGTACGATTTTCCCTACCTTTCCATAACTGTAGATCATTGTGTAGAAGCAAAAGATTGGAAAACTACATCCAATCCAAAAGATGACACATCATCTTCAACTAGCAGCTATTCAAAGATGACAGAATCTACCACAGGAGTCACCTTATTGTATGTGCATACGCTGCAATAAAGAATATTATCTTAGTTTCTCTGGAACAGGTTGCCCAAGGAGGCTGTGGATGCCCCATCCCTGCAGGCATTCCAGGCCAGGCTGGATGTGGCTCTGGGCAGCCTGGGCTGCTGGTTGGTGACCTGCACACAGCAGGGGGTTGGAACTGGATGAGCACTGTGCTCCTTTGCAACCCAGGCCATTCCATGATTCCGTATTGATTTAATATTACCAGTATCCCTGTCACAGTTCACTGTGCTGGGCACTGCAGTAAAAAAGCAGAGTAGTAAAAATCCTGAAGTTTGATGTGGTAGAAAGATATCCTTGAGCCATTCCTCAGCTGGACTCAGAATTGATATCAGATGAAGTACTGCATTTTCTTTTTTTTTTTTTTTTTCAAATTGATGAACAGAGAAAGGAAATGTAAGCTATCCAGTGTAATCTAGTTTAATAAAATCTGCTTGTCATTCTTTCTTTGTCGCTGCTAAGGCCAACAGAGCACTGCCTGAATATTCACAGAAATTAATAACTCCAATAAACAAATTTGTGCAAAAGTTATTTTTCAAAGCGTGACAAAGACTTCTGCCCTCTTTAAGATCACATGAAAATTGGTTTTACTGTTCAGTGAGCCGTATCTAAGAATGCAATAAAAATACCATTGTGCATCCACAATGCATAATTTTTACATAGTTTTATGCTGAAATAACTCATTTTTAAAAAGATTGTAAAGCAACACCTTTCTAAAGTCATGTCTCAAAAGCATGTCCTTGTGAAAAGCTAGTGGAATGAAGACAAGATATGAAGTCAGTACAGCACGATGCCACCATTTGGATCCACAACAAAATTATTTCTATCTTCGCTCTCATCTAAAAAAAAAAAAAAAAAAAAAGAAAAGGTCTAAGAGCTGAGTATAAATTAAATATAGTAAATCAAATGCAGCTGAGAAGCTGCAAACTTTTATGCCAAGTTCCAGCCTGAAAGGAATTTAAATGGTCACAAGCATGGATTCAACAAAGGGGAGACTGCAATGAAGTTCTGGCAGAGAAAAACAGAACCGTAAGTAAATTGTGTAACCTCTGAGAGGGAAGAGGGGAGACAGCAATGGGGAACTGCTCTCAAAAGGATGCTTAAAGGAAGAAGAAAAAGCAGTAGGGTCACTGAAAAACAACGCGATGGAGTTTGGTTTAGTGAATGGAATGCAAAGGGGTGTCAAACTGCCAGCCTGAGAGCTGCCAGGCTGTTGGGAGAAGCTGCAAGGCCACAAGGCAACACTGATGCTGCAACCGACTGCAGGGGATCATCCAGTCACCCCCCAGATCTTACTGGGAACTTGCTCACAACCAACCAGGTGGTTCCAAAATGGTAAATCGTCATGCAATCCTGCCTGCATTCTTACCAGCCAGGAAAATCTGTGTCAGTACAATTTATACGTATACTTCTTTCTCCTTACTGTTCTCTGTGCTCACTGTATGTAGACATCCTTATCCCAAGAACTAACAATGGCTTTACAAGGGATTAGTGAGACCTAGTGGAGGTTTGGGGGTCGCAAGTGGTGATCCCTTTGCAGAGTAAGGCCCTGTGCAAAAGGCAGACACAACAGATAGGGTACAGCATTGCACTCATTGTTGGCTTTGTTTCATAGGCAGTTGGCTATGGGCATGGCAATCATTACAACTGTAACAGGCTCAGGGGAAAACGTATTGGGAACTTGTTTGATAAGTGGCATGCTGTCACTAAGCACTGTATCTTCACTGCATAACACTTATTTTTCTGGATAATGATTTTTTAAATTGTCCTCATGCTCCTGCTCTTTCTACACATCAGCAGTAAAGACAACTCTTGAAACGCTGTGCGTTTTCCAGCATCTGAAGACCACCTAGAAATGAAAGGTGATTAAGTAAGTAGTTAGGAGAGAGAGGGAGATGGCGCTCTTAATGCTGAGAGTAGAAAAATAAGCTCCAGGGAGAATTTCTGGAGCCTTCAACAGGGCCCCTGTGTGAGCAGCACAGTGCCTGCAGCCCTGAGGATGAACACTGTGGGCAATGCAGGGCACAGCTTGGCTCCTGCCTTCTGCCATGTCACTTCCAGCTGGGAAGCACCCCCTGCCTATAGGAAAGGGGCACTGGGAGCTCCTCAAGAGGCTCTCTGAAGTCAAGCGGTACTAAAACTGGAAACATTCTTACGTTTCCAAATGGAGAAACTTGATGCTAAGGTAGGAACAAAGAGAAAGACATTTTTTAAAGTTGTGCGGACACTTCCAAAACATTTTTTTAATAGCAAAAAAAAAAAAAAACACAACCAAAAAACAACAACCAAAAAAGAAGGAACTCGGCCAGCTTGAGCCGAGTTGAGCAGAAATGCAGAAGCTGGGATCTGGAAGTTTCCATGGCATCCCTGCAGCACGCTGCCTGCTCCCAACCGTCCGGGTGCTGCCCGTCTGTGTCCCCCGGCCCTGCTCCGCCCCGCTAAGGTCGGTCCGGCCCGCCGAGCCTCGGCCAGCAGACGAAGAGCCGGGCTGGGGGCTGCCCGCAATGCGTAACGCCTCCCGTCTGCCCCCGTGAATGAGCTCAGATATAAATGTTTATATCCGTGGATATATGGATATCCGGCTATTGTCGCATCCAGCGACTAAATAACAACCCCTTAACAAAAAAAAAAAAAAAAAAAAAAAAAGCCAAAACAAAACACCCCACACAAGCCATAACGACGATGATGATGCTGACGGGAGGGGGGGGGGGGGGGGGGGGGGGAGGAAATAAATAAATAAAAGCGAGCGAGAGTCGGCGAGGGAGAGGGAGGCAGGTTCAATTATCTAAACAAAGAAATCATGGCGGAGTGTTTACATTTGGCTGCCCAAAGCCTGTCGGATTACGGACCCCCCCCCAAACACACCCGGCCCTCCCGGCCCCCCGCAGTAGCGGCGTGCCGGAGCCCGCCCGCCGACACCTCGCCGCGGCCCGGGTAAGTGCGGAGCTCGCGGCGGCCGGACCCGCGCCCCGGCCCTCCCCGGGTGGGCGGCGGGGCGGGGGCCGAGGCGGCTCCCCTCGCCCGGTGCGGTGCCGCGTGTGTGTGTGTATGCGTGTATATATGTGTGTGTATATATATGCGTGTGTCGGGAGGGGACGGGGCTCGCCCGCCGCCGCCGCGCTACCCCCGGGCTCGCCGCGCCCCCCCGGCCCCGCGGCCGCCGTGCCGCCTCCCTCCGCCCCGGGGTCACGGCGCCCGGCGCTCGCTGCCGGCTCCGCCCCCGTGGCCGCCCCCCCCCGCACCCCCCGCCTGTCCGCCGCCGCGGCGCCCACGGGGCGCGGGGACGGGGCTCGGCGCGGCCGCGTGCGGGGGATCTGCCGCAGCCCCGGGGGGGCGGATTTGGGGAGTGAGGGGCCCGGCGTCGCGGGGGATGGGGAAGAGGGGGGGATGGGGGGGGTGAAGGCTGGATGCGGCTTCTGCTGCCGCTGTCCGAGCGCCGCGTCGCAGAGGGCGTGTGAGAGTAGAGAGGTGGGTGGGTGGGAGCTGGCTGCGTGCTGAGACCCTCGTCCGAATCGCCATCACACCTCCATGCCGTGACCAACGAGTGCCCTCGCCTTTAGGTGGCTTTGCCCTCCAAACGCGCACACCGTGACATGCGCTTACTCTCTCTTAGCCCTGTATGCTCTCACCACCAAAGGACCTCAGCCTCGAGCCAAGGTGCTGTGCCATGCGTCCAGAAGCCCTTGCTCACAAACGTCCTTGGCCCTAAGTGCTTCCATCTCCAGGCTCCCTCATTCCCAGATGCCCTTACTTCCAAACCTCCTGACTCTCAAACAGCCACACTGCAATTTTCCTTGCCCCAAAAGACCCAGCCCTGAAAGTCCTTGCCCCCAGCTCCCCTGTAATGAGGGGAGGGGCTTTGCTGATCTTGTGTTCTTCTGAAACCCTCTTCTGGTCGGCCCTCTGGAACAGCCAGAAGGGCCTGGGTCCCTCTGCTGCCAACAGGCTGCTCCCTGACTCTGGGCCCCCACGGGCTGCTGCTGTGAAATACAGAGATGACCCTTTCAAACAGTCTGTATGTGTTGCTCCCACGTGTCCATCAAAAAGTCCCCTGGCCCTGGTACATCTCAGCACCAGAAAGCTGTAAAACTACTTTGACACCTCAGCCCTCCTGGATCTGGCTAACGGCAGTCCCCCTCCTTCCCCCCTCCTCACTGCTGCACTAATCCTAGGCTGCATGTCCGACTATGCTGCATGTATCCCTGCAGCAGGATGCTGGGGAGCAGCAGGGTGCTGTGACAACAGCACAGTGCACACATCTTGCAGGGCTTTGCAGGCTGTTCTGCTGGGTGCACAAGGACAGCAAAACGACTGCTTTGGCAGTAGGATCTAAGGGCTGGAGAGAGCAGTTGGCTGGTTCCTGGTGTTCTCTGTGCTGGACCTACTTTTATTTCCAATGGCTGTGCTCCTGCATGTCCCCAGTTCAAAGTGTGCTTTGAGCTATGCAAGATGGAGGTCTGTATTTGGAGAGGTATGCAAGTTACGTCTTTATTTTTTGTTGAACTGCTCATCTTAAAAGTTTGGGAAGTCAAAATCGTTAAATGAAAGAGAAACGCCTCCTTATTGCATTACAAGGCTCTGGAAGAGAAAAAGGCGGGTTGAGACTCGGGAGGTTTGAGATGTCCACTCTTCATACTCTCCCAAGCTGTTTCTCAAGGCAGTGGGGCTTGTGGTGGCTCACTGCTGTGCTGTTGGGAAGTCAGTGTGCATGTCAGCGTGTCAGCGGTGCACTGAAACGAGGGAAGCAGAAATCTGAGGTTCACACTGGTGCCTCTGCTGGGTTTGCCTGCACGTGGGCCACGGCTTTGCTTCTCTGGCTGAGCCCTTTGTTGGGACTGTGGGAACACGCAGTGCACACAGGGGATGTCAGCTGCCCAAAATACGAGAGCTGCAGCACGAGATCCTTCTGTCTGCAGAGCCTCCTGCCTGCATTCCCATTGCCCTCCATCCGCATTTAGGCCGGGCACTTCTGGGTTTGTACGTTCTGTGGATAAAAGGCCTGCTGAGGAAATTCCCCATACACTTTGATTTTTTGCCATTTTGCTTCCTGCTTGAACTGTCAGTTCCTGGAGTCTCTGAAGGTCTGAGGCTGTTTTCTCAAGGAAAGCTCTTAATTTAAGTGGCCTGTTAACTGTTAATTGCTGTTCTGTTCTGGCTATTTACCTGAATCTCATGTCAAACCTGCTGTTCTGGTCTGGAGGCTACACTGCTTATGTGCTCTGATCTCTAAACTGTTCCTGCTTTCTGCTGTTTTATTGAAGACCGCAGTAATATTTCTTTTCTTAATGCAAACTGACACATCCTAGATTTAAGGATTTTGTTGAGCAAGCTGCCCTGCTAGGAATGGCTGAAACAATAATTTCAGATCTGGTTAAAAAAAAAAAAAAAAATTCTCCAAGAAGTAATATTCGAAGAATTTTCTTGTTTTCTACAGCATGGGTGTATTTGGAGGAGAAAAGGTTAGATAGGAGGCCCTGCTTGTCCATCCACCAGCATCAGTAGAGCAGGTGTGAGCAGTGCTGGAGGTCCCAGTGTGTGCTGCTGGGAAGGCTGGAGGAGGCCTTGCTGTCTCCAGAGCTGTGAGCTGTGCAGTTGAAGCAGCGCTGGTGCAGCCACTGACATTCCATCCTTAGAAACAATTCTGTTTTTTTTTTTTTTTTTTTTTTTTCCTTTTGCTGCATTTAATAAAGCTATTCTCTTCCCTGCTAACTAATCGTATGAAATTGATGGCAGATTTTGGCTGCTTGATTGGGATAGTTGCACAGATATGTTTGAAAAATGCTAAGAGAATGGATATAATTTGATCTCAGACTGCAGAGAGCAGTAACAGGGCTGGTTCCCTTTTGGTGACTATCTGCAGTTCTTGATTAATGAGGGTTCATTCGGGTATTGAGAGAAGAGGAGAACTCTCAAATGACGCTGAATTTGTTTCCCCTGTATGTAATAGAATGAAACTCTCAGGCTATTGCTGGACAGTAAGATATTCTGACATGAATATATATTTTGGAGCTCTGCACAAAATGAGGATTTCATGCATAGGCAACGCAGTGTGACAAGTCATATCCTGTGTGACCTTGTGCGTACAGTATAAAGTTGTGTAATACGATCTTCTGCTAAATTATTACACAAAATAAATAGAACATACCTCATTTTTATGCTAATAATGATGTTTTTCAATTCTAAGCTCCTTTTATGCTAAGATCTCAAAGTAAATTACAGGTAGAAGTAAACCAAGCTTCATGGCACCGCTGTGAGTTGTAGTATTATCATTCGGAGACTACTTGAAGGTATCTTTATTAATTGCTGTTGTTTAATTTTCTGTTAATTATTGCTTGATATGCTTAGCTTGTGATACTGTTCTCTCCCCTAATACGTTAACAATAAAGTATAATCTTCTGAAGGTGAGGGGAAACAAATGTTTTAATTTCAGCCACAAAAATGGTCAGATCTGTCAAGGGCAAGGGGAAAAGTGATACCGACTTCAATTCCTCAAGGAATTAGCAGTGGTTTTGCCAATAGCATGTGTTTTCTGTGGCTGGAGCAGAAAGTAAACTTGGTATCGGTTTGATCCGTGGTTCATCCCGTGATGTAAGCGTGGGTGAGAGGCTGATGAGATTTTACAGAGAGGTTAGCTAAGGGAACAAAAACCTATACTGTTTTCTTGAATTTGAATTACAAAGGATAGGATTTCCAAAAGTGCTGATTGTTTTATAAGGCCAGCTGCCGTTAAAGCCAGTGGTAAAAGTGTCATTTACTCAATGAGAGCCAAATTAAGCCACTGGGGGGCTTCTGCAGTCCTATCCTTGATGTTTGTAAAGTGTGAGATCGATCTTGCGCCCCTGATACCTCCAGCAGGTGTTTGTTACCAAGTTCAGCACAGGATTTGATTCTCATTCACGCGGAGATGGAGTAGCATTTCTGGGGGTGAGAATCCAGCCTGTAATGCTCTTCAATAGCTTTTTCCCCATCGATGTCAGTACTTGGGACGGTCAATTAGTAGAGAATTTGCTCAAACTTCTTAATGCGTATTTACAACCTTAATTCCAGTTTAACAGAATGTTTTGTGGTGGAACGTTTACAGAAAGAGCATGTGGAAAAATTATCGCTGCGTGTATTAAGCACAAAGAAAGCATCCCTGTGCTGCTGTGGAGGAGCAACTGACAAAACAGAACATATTACAAGAAGCTATCTTTTTCATTAAGTCTGCACAAAATGAGGATTTAACGCATGGGCAGCACAGTCAGTCCCAGCGGTTTAGTGCCCATAATCCCACCTTGAAAATGGCTTCACAATCATAATTACTGTTACAAAATGGACACCGCTTCCATTTCTGCCATGTCTACTTCACACACAACTAATTGCAGGCACAGAAGGCGAGGTTCTTATTTCACCAGCCGCCTGGTTCCAGCACTGCAGCTTTGTAAACCTGCCCATAAGATTTCCAGTCTGTCACTGATAACTTTTGCTTTGCCTTGTTTTGTCACAACGATGCAGAGCATGGATGGCAGCCGCCCTCACTTTGGCCCAGCTCAAACTGTCCCTGGACATTAAGATACTATGACATGAATATATATTTGTGAGCTTTGCACAAAATGGGCATTTCACGCATAAGCAACACAGTGTGACGACTAGTATCCAGCATGACCTTGCAAATGCAGGCTGAGCTCCAAATGCACAGCTCCAAAAGGGAAGGTGTTGCATTGCCTACAACAGGAAGGAGTGCAGCAGAGTTTTGGGTTCTAGAAGGAAATCCCATAGTTGGGTTCCAAGACTACAGCTCTTCCTACAAGTTCCTACAACCCACCGCTTTACCTGGCTGGTGAAGAAGCATGGCTCGAAACAAAAAAATTCCAACTACTTTTATAAAGGAAGGGTCACTGTTAGGTAAAATCCATCATAAGCAGTGGAACTCATCTCAGCGAGCTGCAAATCCT